ATCAGAGGCACTAAAAAGACGTTATTAGGATCAAGGTCCGTCTTCAATGATAGTATTGATATTATTAAGATGAAGAATCATTTCAATTTCATTTTGATTCTTAAGATTCCAATTGGAGCTTGATTTCTAATCTATATCTAAATATCAGGTTTACCGTTGGGACCAATACGGAGGGCGATGCTGAGTTTGGGGATGCCGTCACGGGATATATGGGCATGAGTGACGAATTTTACTATGACGACTAAGATGAATATCAGAAAACGCTCATATTAGGACGGCTGGCAGTACTTCAAGATTGGAAAAATTTTTATGAGGCCAATATAAAGATTGTCACTTAGGTTACTATACTATTTATAATACAAAACTGAATCGTAGTTTATAATGGAAGAGACATTGAGATTGTTATTGGAATTCATTGCTCAATCAGATATGAGGAATCCCAACAAGGCTTCGATATCTAAATTGTTATTATGACGATTATTATTTCTAGCAAATAGAATTATATTGCGGATTAATATCACTATTTATCTTAAATCATTTCCTTTCAGATTCCAATGAATAATATATGGAAACCAATATTGTATGCTCCAGCATCGTGATTTTGATTTATATCTAACTCCTAAAAGATGGACGATGATGTCGAAACTCATGCTAGAATGAATATAAAAAATCTGTCATTCTTTGATCGATTATTATTAGGAAAAATTTTGAATCTAATGGATTTCAATGAGCAAGTCACGATAATCAACGCTATTATTATGTATCGTAGATTTGATTTATACGTAACGCTGGAAGGGATCATGTTTAATATGGGCAGGGCAACTAAATTGGAATCAATTCGAAATATTGAACTTCAATTCCGAGGATTGAATTTCAATCTTCTCGGATCCAAGATTCAAGATTCCCGGAGAAAATTTTCCCAGGATCTTGAATTTTGAATCTTGGATCCGGGAGTATTGGAGTTCAATCGTCGAGAGTGAATTCAATATTCGGATTCTTTTTCCAATGCCCTAGATATATATATCAGTGCTGGGAATACATGTGCGGACTTATATTCTGTTATCCGTTATTTTATTTTGATATTGCATATATTAGGCGGGCTATAATAGACTCCCATATATAGATATATATATAGAATTATATTTGGTGAGCTTATGACGATATTAATATAAAATATATATTATTGTGTTAGCCAGGAATCACAATAGTATTACTGCCCCTAAATCTTGAAGTAAAGAGGACCCTCTCTAGTAAATTCTAAAGAGCTCAGGAATATGAAAGATTAGTGTGGGGAGAGATAGCATATATTTTCTTTTTTCAAAATTCCTATTCTAAGAAGAAAATATAAAAATATTCATATATATATATATTAGATTGGAGCCGTTGTTTGCAACAGTATGAGAAAGGAGACTACAAATCACTTTATCATTGAAATCTTTATAGCCTCTATAGGCCGGACTGTAGAACACTTCCTAACCCTTTAAGGCCTCTGAAGTCAGCTCGGAGTTTAGGGATGTCTGGGGCTTTAAGGAAACCTTCATGTAACCACTTATGCCCTTCACGGAACCATTAGAGGAACCCCTAAAGGATCTCGGATACCTTTTCGGGATCCCTTTAAAGGAACCCTTAAAGGAGTTAAGTCCTGAAGAAGCTCTTCAAAGGAATCCTCCCTTTAAAGGAATCCTTAACGAATTTAAGCCTTCAAGAACTTCTTTAAAGGAAGCCTTGAAAAAACCTGCAGCTTGGTTCATTGCCTCGTAGGAGGGTCGAGCCATCACCTTCCAAAGACTCAGAAAGTCCAAGAGAATGGAACTAGAATAAGGTTCTTTTAAGGCATTACTTTAATAGGATCCTTTTCAGGATTAAATATTCGGGTTTAGGACCATGCTGGCAAGGAGGCGCCCCAGCAAATCCGAAATGCGAAAGCTCAAGCTGCGAAATCGCATGCAACCTCTAACAGATCCATGTGAGTTCATCTCGCTTCGCGATCATCGAAGTCACTGCGCAAAGGACTTGAAACTGACATCCTAGAGAAGCCCAAACCGAAGGCTTCAGGTTCCTGAAGGCTCATAAACCCGTATAGATCCGACACAGATCTGGTTCTGGCGTCGCGGGCGCACTGTAATGAATTTTCTTAGTTGCAGAGCTCAACAGTACCCTAAACCCTAAATCCAAGGTTCGACTCAAGTGATCAAACTCTGCGACTTGAAACAGGCCAAATGGCCACAAATCCAGAAAGCCGCAAAAAAGAGCATCCCCTGCGAAGCCTCAGCACTGCTTGGCCTTTTGCCATTGCAACTCCAAAAACAGTCTGGTGATTGCGAGGCCCAGGATTTGGGGTTTAGGGTTTAGGGCCCAGGGCTTTTGGAGTTCGGTCGGGCATTCGTCAGCCTCTCTGGGGTTTGGGCTTTAGGAGTAGAGTTGATAGTGCTTACCTATAGTCTCCATTGTAGTTCCTTTTTTGATTTAACCAATTCTATATTATATTAAGGATCCTAAAAGGTAACCGCAAAAAGGAACTACAATGAAGACTATAGGTAGACCTAGAAGTAACCACAAGAGCTTCCTTGAGCCATTGGGCCGGCTGGCTGGGTTTTGGATAAAGGGCGGAACAGAGAGTCGTTTGGGCTGCAGGGGGGTTTTCGTGTTCGAGATGTAGTAGTTCGGGAAGGTAATATGGCCAAGGTGATTGTTGACTGTAAGTTTTTCATTAAAGTTCCGACACGTTGCTACAGGTGTTCGAGATCAATTGGCTTGGCAGGAATCTTATACTAGGGACTTCATATGACCTAGTTGGGGATTCTCGTGTATATGTTCCCGCTCGCCAGCTACTTTCCACATCTCCTAGTCCTAGTCCTCATCCTAAACCCTAAGCCCTAACAACCGGGAAATAGGTTGCAAGCCATTTTTTCATTGAAATATTTAAGATTAGACAGACAGACAGATAATTCCCATAAATAAAAAAATAGAAATCCGGATAAATAGACAAATAAAGATAATAGAAATAAGTAGAGATAGATAAGAATAGATAGATATAAACTAAGGCCAAATACAAATATATATTAATTTCTTTTCATTGCAACTTATATAAATCCAAAGATTTTTCGATTAATAGATATCATCTATATTCGATTCTTGAAAATTTACGATATATTTTATCATAAAAATAGCGCAAAATCATCATTGTCACGAGCAGAATCTATTTTAGCGAAGATCAGAGAATTATTCAGAATATTATCGAATAACTTGCCGATTCGTATTGTAAAAAATCTTTTCTATCATACTCGAAGATATCATATATTTCAGAGAATATTTTTCTTATATGTAAAATTTATCAATAACCACAATCACAAGAAAATATATACGCATCTTCGAACAAAATAATAAAAGAAATATCATAATCGAATATCTTATCTTATATTTAAATAAACCAGAGGGAAATTAGATCTTATTCATAATAATCTCAACCTTACATAATTTTTTCTATAAAATATCGTCACATTTAAGCAATAATAAATATTTAACCCTAAATAAGAAAGACGAAATCAATATTCATAATACCTTAAAATTCGAAATCAAATCTCCTTCTTTATTCCGATTCTCTATTAATTCAAGAAGAATAATCTCAAGACAACCTCGTATCCACGAATTCATCTATTTCTAATTAATATTTAAGAGAAGAATTAAGACCCAATATAAACAGAAAGAGACAATAGAGACAGAAACAAATAAATAAACCGACCGATCGGTAGATTCAGACCGACAAACACACGTAGACAAATACGAACAGACAAACACAAATAAACAGACACAAAGAAACGAATACAAACAAACAAAGACAAACAGACAGACACAAACAAACAGACACACACACGGACAGACAGACACACAGACGGCCAGTCACACAGACAGACAAACACACACACGGACAGACACATAGACAGACACACAGACGGACAGACAGACAGAGACAAACAGACAGACAGAGAGACAGACAGAGACAGACAGACAGACAGAGACAGGGAGACAGACAGAGACAGACAGCCAGACAGAGAGCGACAGAGACAGAGACACAGACAGGAGACAGAGAGAGACAGAAAGAGACAGAGAGAGACAAACAGACAGGCCAGGCCAGGCCAGGACAAGACAGGACAGGAGAGGAGAGCAGGGGAGAGGCGAGGAGAGGACAGGACAGACAGACAGGTAGGATAGAGAGACAGAGAGAGAGAGACAGAGCGAGACAGAGAGATAAAGAGACAGACAGACAGACAGACAGACAGACAGTGCTTTTCGAGCGGCCCCCAAAATCGGTTCTCAAAGCCTAATTCAGGACATGCTCCCGGTACTAAACAAAAATTTCGGAGATTTTATTACCGCGAGCATACCTACCGAAATTTTCGCAAATTCTATTACCGGGAGCGTGCCCCCCTCGAGCTACCAAAATTTCCGAAATTTTAATACCGCGAGATTTCCTAAAGCTACCAAAATTTCGAAAGTTTTAGTAGCGGGAAAAAATACTCCCGGTACTGAACTTTCCGAAATTCTAGTACCGCGAGACAGTCACGCAAGAGACTTTCAAAAGGAAACGCGCCAAAGTACGAGAGGCGACCAACACGACACTGTTTTATTAGAGAATAACTAATAATCAAGTTCAAAAGTCAATCTTATTTCAAATAATCCTTTATTCTTAGAGATAACATCAATGAAATTCAGAACCTAATAAATGTTTTTTGCTAAAACACAATTCCAATTTATATAATTTACGTAGGCGCAATTACAAATGAATCAATTAAAAAATATGATGACGGATAAGGACAAGGCATAATAATGAATATTTTCGTTCGAATGGAATTGAGTATTGATTATATCTTACTTATTCTTCTATCTGTTTTGCCTCTTGTATTTGTTTATAGTTTTTTTTCGTCTGGCAGCGGAGCTCATCTGACATGATACTAACATTTTCGAAGGACAGTGGCACTGGCTCACAATCAGGCGGAGTCCTAGTCTGTGTACTTGCCCTTCTTCACGGAGCGGTTCTTGCGGTCCAGCATGGCTTTTCGGTCCTTGTCCAATTTCAGCTTCGTAATCATCACCTTTGACGGGTGGATTGGAATGGGCACGCTCTGCCCGTTGGCCTTGTCTCTGGTAACACGCTCCACATGGATGCGGAACTTCTTGCGGTACACCTGCGTCACCTTGCCCTCGCGATCATGGTAGTGACCCCGCACGATCATCACCTCATCGTCTCGGCGAATGGGCACTGCTCGCACTGCATACTTCGCTCGCAGCTCTTTGCTCAGTGGAGCGGACATCAACTTGTGCCGGATGTGCGATGGTGCCGTGAAGTACGCCTTGCGGTTCTTCCGCCGCGAGCATGTAACTGTGGCCTTCTGCTTCATGGCGCAGCTGCACCCTATTGGCGCAGTGTCTATGACAAGACGCTTGCAGCTTGACCCGCTGGTGCAGCGAAGACTTATCGACACAATGCTCATGCATGAATGGCCTCACACCTTTAAACTTTTTTGCCAATGGCAAGCGCTCTTGAGGCACTTCAAATTCTGTGGAGCTTGCTCTTTGCTAGGTTGGTATGGAATAGGTCGCATGTCCTTGACTCGTTGACATTAACGAAGGTTTGAACTGCAATATTTGTCGTGGAGCAAACTTTAAGCATCCATCCATTTCAATCGCTGCCCTTCATTCCACAAACCTTTTCGTTGCCTGACAGGCGCAGTGCGTACTTTCTATGTGCATCGTACAGGCACCTTTCTCTTCCATCTCTGCGCATGCCGAGGACACAGACTTCGTGGACACTGAAGGGAATGAAGGTCTTCCTACTGGACCCGCCTGCCCTTGGTGTCGATGAACACGCCCACGCCATGCTGCCGGCCCATCTCCCACTGTCCAGAGTAGGACCTAAGAAGAGGTCCCTCTTGAAGAGAAGGGCTCCTCAAAGGGTGGCTCAAGTCCAGCCTTCCATCGGGCCACGTGAAGGTGCCCTCGCCGGACTTTCGGTCCTCAAAAGAAACAGATCCCTCACTCGCTTCTTCTTTTGGCACAGGGCTTAGGGGACTGTCGAGGTCCAATGGCCTATGGGCCCCCACTTGTTATGGGGCATTGAAGGGACTGTGAGAACAGACACGGATTCACATCAGTTTCACGAAAGTGGTAAAAGACAACCGAACGATCCTCCCGTGCTTGCAATGGACACCTTGAATTATGCGATATGCCATGGACTACTGTCAAGAGCAACTTCTGAGTAAATTCCAGTCCCCCAGCATGTCCAGTATACATCTTCATGGCAGTGGTTGTGCTACGTGTCTTCCTCTGTGCACATGTTTTCAGCACACAACATGGCAGAACAAAACCCAAAAGTAACGCACACAAACAACTAGTCCCCGGACACATGCACGCAGCGAAAATGTATCTGCAGCATGCATGTTGACTCCCAGGGTTACGGAAAGTACACACCCTCTTCCACAGCTGAACCCTGGCACTCTACCGGGAGCCAACTTGGATATTGCTTTTCAAAAGAGCTTCAAGGTACTCTCAGGCAAGCAGCACTACAAGTAGAGCTTCCGCATCTACTTTCGACTCACTCACTCTTTCTTCAGCACAGTTAAGGGAGAGCGCGCAAGCCCCCTCCCCACTCACTCTTTCTCTCTCTCTCTCTCTCTCTCTCTCTACCAGGCTTGGGGCTTGGGGTTGGTCGGACCCCTCACCCCGCACGCGAGCGCGCACCTGCCGGTCCAGGCAGGATTTGAACTCTCACTCTCAGCGAGGGCTATGCCCTCGTGAGCTTGGCTGTACATCCCCCTCT